ACATGCTGGTGAGGGGCGTACTGAGACGTAAGTTATCAACCTTTTTGGTGATATGCATTCGGTCCATGTTGAACGGGCCGAGTCGGCCGAACTTAGTTTCGGCCGCGGCTGACACGGGGGTTCCAAGAAAGAATGACGAAATGAACGCGCCCGTGGTTGGTTCACGTTAGTCTCCAGTTGCAGTAGGCGATCCAGATAAGACAAATTTGGGCGTGTTGATAACGAGTGTGTAAATCCCAATCAGGAAGATGTGTCCATTGCTTACAGAAATCCAACAGGTATTTAGTTCACTAAACTTGACTCACGGGTGGATCTTGCAAGGAATGTGGGACCCCGTCTACCGGTGCGAAAGAACTGGCCTGTAAAGAATGGGGTAAAGTTGGGGCGAAGGTATATATATTGCTCACTATATCCACGCTTCGTCATGCAGTGGCAAATCTCACACTGAGGCGTTACATGTGAACAAGATCCTTTTCAACATCATCCACTTCCAAATTGTGAAGTTCTCTGAAGCGTTTCGCAAGAGCAGGAATGGAGGAATGATCTGTCCAGCGACCCGCCATCGCCAGAACTTTGATGCTGGATGGTATTGTGACTTGAAAAAGGCTCAGGGCGTTTCCGAGTCCAAGAAATGGCGCTGGTTTCCACCAGCGTCTGTTAGCGGGTTGAAAGCGAAGGTCGACCAGGTGTAATTCGTGAAGGTTGGGCACAGAAAGGCGGGACAAGAGCGATGTAAGCTCAGGGGGTATATCGATATCCGATTCGTCGACGGCAAGAACGAGCCGCTCGAGCTGCAGAAGGTGAGTCTGTCCTGCAGGAACGTTATCGCGAGGTAGGTACAAAACTTCTCCATCCAGTACTCTTTCCCTAAAACATATGCGAAGCTCACGTAGTGCGCATGAAACTCGAATCATTCCTAGAACTTCATCTACGGCGGTTGGCCCAGTTGTGAATCCGTGGTGAGTATAGTCGAGATGTGTGAGGCGACCATAAAGCTCTGGCAGCCAGGTTAGGCGAATGCCATCAAGCGTGACGCTATGCAACCGAGGCGCAACGCCTGCGAAAAGAGCAAACTCCTTTGTGTCATCATTCTCTGGATAACACAGAGTAAGTCTCTCCAGTTGCAGCGCGCGCACCGATGGAGTAAAAGCATGTCTGCCCATGTTATCGTCCTGTTGTTCTTGACGACATATGGGGCCGAGAGCAGTGTTCCATAAGAACGGCGAGTAGCTTGAAAACCGCAGCTCAAATGAGCGGGCTCTGGATATGTGTGGGACAAGAAGATGCAGCTGTAGGGCTAATGCGTCCATATCGGGAAAATGGTGCTGCGGAGGTGTAATTGTAACGTCGAGGGAACACCCACGGGCGCGGGCTATGCGCTCCTTCCACAAACGCAATCCATGAGAACAAAACGACAAGCGCCGCCAGAGGGTATGCGTGTGTATAGCAAGCATCCTCCATGGGTGACAGACGTGGGAGATGGTGATAAGAAATAGGGCATTATCAAACGAGCCCAGCTCAAAGATACGAATGAGAAGCTCGGGAGGAAGAATGTGAACGGGATGATGTTGGAGGTTGGAGATCGGACTACGATATAGGGAAAATGTTAGAGAAGGGCGAGCGAAATCTGAGGATTTTGCAATTGAAGGTGATGATGATGAAGGGCGACAATCGGGGCGATCGACGATTAATGAACTGCAGGATATTGACTCTGGAAAGCGCCTGGTCAGGTTATATGGTCAGGGAGACGTTAGTAATGGCATGTCGAAGGGCAGACTTACTGCAGAGGGTGAATCTTTTCCTGAATCGCGCACGTGAATGACTTCGTGAGGGTTAACTCACGACGACGAGATCGTCTGAGTATCGATGGCATGCTGCATGGTTGGGGGGAAGCACCTTAGCGATGCCACTCATTTATGGATCCAGATCATGTAACTCCTGCGACACAGGGGCTCGTTAAACCTAACATAGCTCCGGCTTCAATTGTTTCCGAGCATGAAAACAAAGAGTAGTCCGTCGGGACAAAAGAAAAGCCTGAGGCGGCAGCAGAATTGCTGTGTCCTATCCTAGCACAGGTCTTGCCATTATTATTGCTTTGTGAATGGAATGGGTCTAAATAGTCTAGCGTCACTCACTCGTAATGGAACAAGATGGGGGTCGTAACTCTGATACTGAGTAACGTGGGTCTCTTTTGTGCCCCAGATTGGCACCTTCTAACCATGACCCGCTGTCAACCCTGCCGAGAACGTCCGGGAAATGACGACTCTAGGGCTATTCTACATGATTCTTGGGCCAACGTCTAGGGCCAGTCTGGGCTGGCTTCGGGCAGTGTTCAAACACTACTCGAATGTGGTGCTCTCGAGACAGCGTACCTTCATAGTCGACGGTATGTACGGTCTTCTCCTAAGTATCAAAAGGCACACATGGTACAAAGAAATCCATAAACACACTGAACCAAATCACTCTATACATGAACTAAGTTGAATCGTAAACGTCGAGGCAGGGGAGTCGGGATATCATGGAGCTCACATGAGCGGGTGTGAGGTGCAGTGGGAGGGCTCATGTAAGACGGTACGAGAGCACACGAGAGGAGGCGCTCGATGTTTTGATCAGTGAAGGAGAACGCTCAATGCAAGTAAGAGGGCGGCAGATGCAGGAGAGTGGTAGCAGACATGAGAAGGCAGCAGGAAGGGAGGGCGGGAGGTACGATGGTGATGAGCACATTAATATTACAACTCCGCTCGAACCCAGCCGCCGAAGCAAAGTTGTCAAAACCTTCTAGTTGACCACTGGTGTTCCTTGTTCGTTCTTTTCAAGTCTTCACTAGTACTGCCACGTATTGTATAGTTGTGCATCTCTCTGGAGCAGGGATCAGACTCGGTGTCGTAATGATGCAATGATTATGTAAGTCCTGGGTGGAGCCATGTAGAGTATAACTATCATTGCGAGCACAAATCATTTATCAATCATGGCGACCAATAACTTACCTGTTGAGCTCTGGCATGTTGTTTTTTCTCTCACCAAAGTCCTCAAATTTTCCTTGAATGACCTAGCTGCACTGTGCCGGGTGTGCATTGGCTTCCATCATGCAATAGTCGACTCTTTGTACGAGTGCATCACAGTCGACAACTCTGATGTCTGCACTACCCTTGCAGAGCATCCCATCTTGCAGAGAAAGTCAAGTCATTCATCTTTACATATCCAACCACGATGGGGTATGATGGTCCTGAGGTGCACCTGGATAATTTCACATTAGCCCTCGAAAATATGACCTGCCTCTCGACACTCAAGCTTATTCATTCCCAAAAGCGCTACTCATCTGTCCTTTGATACTGTGACGCCAAACTTCGTGTTTTTCATTGCACCTATGATGTTAACCTCCAATTGCTATCCTTCCTAAACAAGCAGGATAACATCCGTGATCTCGCTATCACTGGGGAACCAAGACATCGAGATACTTACTCTGAGTTCCCTGGGATACTTTCTCCCACATCTCTGCCACATCTAACAGAAATATCTGGTTCGATCTCTCTTCTACATGCCCTTGTGCCTGGGCGCCCGGTTCAAACAGTGCGGTTCAAGGGCTGCTATGCACAATCCGCAAAATGGGGTCTTGATGAGATTGTTGGCCACTCCAGTGCCTGTCAGGAATTTGGGACTTGATCTCACAATTTGGCCCTTGTCAGTACTATATAATCCTCGTGGACTACTTCCAAACCATGTTGAGGAAATCACGCTGACGGGTTTTGCTACTGGGGTCAGCAAAACACTTTTTTAAATTTATAACATTAATATTGACTGCCACACAGCGCCCGTTCATATCTGGGGAACACGGAATGAGCCACTGGATATATGATGTACATCGCATACTGGGAAGCACACCGAGTTTGAAAAGGCTGACATTCTGGATGGAGGGAGAGCGCGAAGACGCGTGTGGATAGGCTCAGCTTCTCTTTCAGGAGTTCCATGATGAGCTGTCCCGTCTTGAGCAGGTCTCGTGCGTGATCGCTGGACCAGACATGTCAATATCATTTGACTTCTTTGATGACAAGTCGGGTTGCCTCCTAACTGGGCCTCGTGAGGATAATCAAACTCGGAGCCATCGGGCTGTGAATGACATTCGGGAGCTCATGCCACTTCCTATTTTATGTTGTTCGATGGGCGAGAAGGGCCATTGCGATAGAAAGACATTTATGTTCCTCCAGCTTGATCGCAGAGAAATGGAGGGATGGATGAGAATGATGGGAAAGTATCCAGAATTGCCCCGGCCCTGTGTAAGCACGCCGGCTTACCTGAGTTCCCATAATCAGTACATATACTGCTGAAAGCTAAGCTTTCAGTATTTCACCTTTTGGTGTAACGGTTATGCGGGCGGCAGTCTGACCATGTTACACCCTGAAGCAATGGTATTGGTCTGACTGATCATTCCATGTACTCGTTGACTCATTGTAAATTTGAGGTGTGCATGTCTATTTTCGATCCCATGGGGGACATTTTCGTATGACATTGTCTGGCTATCCTCTCAATAAAATGTGCCGAGTCCTGTGAGTGGGGTACTCCGCTTGCCTAAAAACATGAAACCTACGTCCTAAGTGTAGACTGATTCAGTTGTTGAAGTTGATAACTCGTGTGCATGAAACGTCGATGGGGGACGAAACGCTGTACAGTTACTACTGACCCAGGACTCGGTGGGAAAGCAAATTCAGGCGTGAGGACTCTAGTATTTGGTATGCGAAGGTCATAGTTATGTATGATAATTCCTGGAATCAACGCGCTCGCCTCAGTCGACGGTCCACGAACTAGGTTGGCTCTTCTGCGACAAACCAAAATCAGCAGCTGAAGTAATATTCGGGGTCCGCTCTACACCACCTACGTACTAATCGCTGCAACAAAGTTGTTTGTCGAATTCAGCAAGTACTAGATCATTCAATAACACTTGACGCAGTCGCAGTCGACCATCCAAACGAATAAGTGCTCTTAGTTGCTCCGCTTCTCGCGTCATGGACGAATCTTCCTCTCTCGATGCTCTTGCGGACACGCTCACAAGACTATCCGCGAATTCGTACAGTGTTGACCTCCATGCACAACACATTCGCCTGGCAAAGTCCATGGACGACAAGGACCAACTGTTGGTTGCTCTTGAGATGGCAGCAAACTATATGGCAACACCAGACACCATCTGGCTACCTCTTATTGACGCGAAGACTGCTGTGAGTGATACAAATACGCCAGAGGGCACACTGGAGGTGTTGGGCGTATAATCGAAGGCAGAGTCGGACTATATGTGTATGTGAGCTGCAGTATGCGTTATAAGAGATGTTAATGGGCTGCATTTA